TTTTTCTTGAAATTTATTTTTCTTTTTTGAGAAATCTAATTCTTCCCATTCCCAAAGTGTAACTCTCATACCAATACTAGGAGGACAATTATTGGCTAAATACCATAGCATCTTTATTTGCATCCTTTATTTCTAACAATCTTTTATGGGTTTTATGTTCAAAGTTTTCTTGATTTTTTATGGATAAAAGAACCACGCAGTACAGTCCAATGAGTTGTTTGAGTGGGTAGATAGACAGGACCTGAGCATGGCATTTTTAATGCATGAGCTGCACGTCTTGCAAAATCTATAAAAAAATCCATTGGACCTACTACATAGGTGTGTAAGTGCAATTGACAAACAGCTATATTTTCTGTAGGTGGAAGTTTTTCAGGTTCTAATATTTTTTTTTTTTTTTGATAAAGTGTAAGAGAAAAAAATCCAATAATAATAATAATAATAATTTATTATCCATTAACATATTTACCATAAAGCATTGGATCTGGTTGTTTTCATTATTTTCATTGTTATTGTTATTTTCACTGATTATTTTGCAAATTTATTGATGTTGTCCAAAGATTATTTCTAATGAATTGTAAATCGATATATTATTTATTAATATCTTCCATAAATTATAATCCTTGTATATAAACGAATGAATGAATGAAGATATGTAAATCAATAAATACACATTTCTATATGGAAATGACAATTTAGTAATTATTGGAAGTATTATTTTTTATAAAAAAAATTTTTTTGATCTACAAATAATTTTTTTTAAACCAATTTGTCAAGTGTTAAAGAAAACCAAACATACATCGGAAAAAGAGCAAATGAGTAAATATTGTCAGAAGAGGGAAATTTAAAAATAATGTGGTTGCGATCATTGTCGTCCTTCTAGTTAAATAAATATAACAAAAAACGTCCAATGCTTTAAAACCTTAAATCTTTTAGAAAGTAATTTTTCATAAATCTACCACTTCAGATCATCATAAAAGTGTAGTGGCGACAGTGATGGTAGCGATATTGAAAGAATAACAACGGTAGAATGACTCTATATGAAGAATATGGGTTTGATTCATTTCGTCGATAATCATTTCGTCGACAGTCATTTCGTCGACACCCATTTCGTCGAAAGTTTGTTTCATCGAAAGTTCATTTCGTCGAATGTTCATTTTGTCGAAAATTTGTTTCGTCAAAAGTTCATTTCGTCGAAAATTATTTCGCCACAAAAAAAAATTCATTAAACAAACTTCTCCTCACACTTCCCACACACACCGCTTTCCTCACCTAATTTCTTAACTAACTTCCCACACTCCTCACATCTAACTCATTCGGTCTCTGACTCGAGAATGAAATAATTTTCGACGAAATGATTGTCGACGAAGTAAACGCGATCGCAAAAAAAAGGATATCAATGCCTAAAGTAGTGTTTCTATTTGTAATTATTTGAATTAAATTATTTTTATCATTAATTCATGTGGTATATGAGGAGGCGTCATCTGTCAATTTGAGATGAGGAAATCATTTTGATCTATAATAATTTGAATAATTCTAATAATTCAAATAAAAATTAATTTGAATAATCATCCAATTTAATTCGAATAATCAAATTAATAACGAATAATTCAAATAGAACCCTAGCCTAAAGTACTATTAATTTATTAATTATTTTGAATCGTAATTAAATTATGTTATTTATGTAGTTTTGTGATTCGGTTTTTCATATAGCACCAGTCGGTTTTTGCGGTTCAATTCGGTTTTGGTCGAAAACCGCGACTTTAAAACTGAAACCGACCGTTGACATCCTTAATTGCAGCATGGATGACATGACAATAAACATATCCACCTAGCATAAAAAAAAAGAAAGATGTATGGAGTAAAAATAAACATGTAGTTGTATAAGTACATGTTCTTAACAATTTAGAACACATTGAATGTTCACCAATGATTTCGTAACAAACATGTTGATTGATCGGATAATGGTTCACAGCTATGATCTCACGCACCTGAATCAAGAATAACGGATAAATGTAGATCTCAAGTTGAGGTGCATTTGTTGGCAACTTAAAATTGTTGAACTTTTCATTAAAAACCAATGCAAAACCATGTTTTCTTGCCATAAAAAAAAAAAAAAGCTCGGAAGGTCCAAAATTATGTTTTATTGTCAATTTTCACAACAATTGGTTTAAAAGTTAGTTGTTAAATAATTTCCGGCCAATTAAAAAAATTGTAATTTTGGTTTTTCTTATCTGATGAAGATGATTCTTGATGAATGTACCAGTACACAAAAGCATAGATAATACAGTCAACCCTTGTTTCAGCGAGCATAATGGAAATTTGAAATGTTATATTAATTTTTTATATTGTGCAAATGTAGCTTTACAATACACAGCAAACATTCTGGTAATAAAAAATAAGTGATAAACTGGATTTGAATTGGATCTGAACTTGATCTCCAACTTAGAGAGGCAACAACTATATACTGGTGAAGTTTCAGGAGCAATGAGTTCTGTATAACATTTCGTGTAACAACAAACTTCCACTATGCTTCCCTCCTCCTTCTCTTCTCTTCCCTCTCTTCTCTTCTCTGTATATATAACCTTTGTCGTACGACTCTAATATGCCAGAATAAAAAAAACCAGCAGATCTAATTAAAATATGGAAACGATTTTCAAAAATCTGCAAAAAAAATTCACGAGTTCTGGCAAGCAATAGTGGACACGATGAGCATTCAATTATGTGTAATAAAAATTTCGGAATGATTTCTTAAAAGGCCGACGATCGACTAAAAATTTTTCGTGATACAAAAATCTTTAGACAAGTATGATGACGAACGTGGCTTTTTTTAAATTCCAAATTTGTTCAATAATAACAATGTACGTCTCATATAAATATATAAAATTAATAGAATTAAAAAGAAAAATAAACCTCAAAAACTTAACTATTTATACATGATGACAGATGTTATTGGATATGTTATTGACATTCTTCAAAATCTTCATGATGGAAACACAGAGTATTGCTTGAATTCGCAATATCAAGGCCAACAAAGTGAAAATACAATAAAATTGGATCATGTATTAAGGAAATTATTAGAGCGTCACTTACAACTTGAAAAACAAGTTGCTCAATATCAAGCATTTCTCAATGAGTCTGATTCAATTATGATAATAAATGATGCAAATGAATGTTTAGAAGTGCAAAATCTTATTAATGGCAACAGTCATCCTAACACTGTTGCTCCTTCAGATGATTTCAACAAATCTTCTTCAACATTGCCTGCTTTGGTTCATGATGATCATGTTTGTTTAGAATGTCTTAACCAATGTACAACTGTTGTCATAGCTGTCACTTCTGGAGATTTCAAAAAAAGAGTTACTTGTCCCTATTCATCAGGTCCAATCCTTACTTTAAAAAATGCAATCAATAACATGGTTGAAAAAATTGACAATGTGGCTTTTGAGTTGATTCAAGTTGCTCATGAAGTTGATAATGGAAGATTAGGAATTCAAGCTAAAAATCAATATTTAGATGGTGTCTGGAAAGAAATGATGATTCATCTAAATATGATGGCTAATAATCATTCTGAACAAGTAAGAGATATTGCTAAAGTATGCACTGCCATAACACATGGTGATTTAAGCAAAAAAATTACTGTTGAGGTTAAAGGTGAAACCCTTGTACTAAAAAATACTATTAATATTATGGGTAAGATTTCAATAATAATACTATTATTATTATTGAATTATATTATTGGTTATTATTATTATTTATTATTATTACTCATTTTTTAATGTAATATTATTTTTTTTTAGTTGATCAATTAAATTCTTTTGCATCAGAAGTTACCCGCGTTGCTCATGAAGTAGGTACTGAAGGAAGACTTGGTGGTCAAGCTATAGTTAAAGATGTTGGTGGTACTTGGAAAGAATTAACAGACAATGTTAACACCATGGCAGAAAATCTCACTTCTCAAGTGCGTGACATTGCAAATGTTTCAAAAGCTGTTGCTCATGGTGATTTGAGTAAAAAAATTACTGTTGATGTTAGGGGTGAAGTCCTTGAACTAAAAAATATGATTAATACTATGGTTGATCAAGTAAGTTTAATCAATTATTTTTTATTTATATATAATATTTATATTTATAAATTTATTTATATTTTTTAAATAATCATCTATTAGCTATCTACATTTGCTGCTGAAGTAACAAGAGTAGCTAGAGAAGTAGGGACTGAAGGAAAATTAGGTGTTCAAGCCCAAGTTAAGTATGTAAGAGGAACCTGGAAAGAAATCACATCTAATGTCAATACCATGGCAGCAAATTTAACTTCTCAATTACGTGAATTTGCACAAATTTCTGCTGCTGCAATTGATGGAGATTTTACTCAATTTATTACTGTTGATTCACCTGGTAAAATGAATCCACTTAAAACTAAAATAAATCAAATGTTACATAATTTGAGAGAAAATCTTCAAAAAAATAATGCTGCAAGAGAAGCAGCTGAATTAGCTAATAGAAAAAATAGAGGGCTTTTTGTAAATATCTCGCATGAGATTCGCACTCCTATAAATGGTATTGTAGGAATGACAACTTTGACACTTGAAACAGAGTTAACGCATCAACAACGTGAAAATTTAACAATAGTTAATTCTTTAGCTAATTCATTATTGACACTTATTGATGATATCTCAGATATTTCAAGGAGTAAGAATTATTGTTATTGTTATTGTTATTGTAATTATCTTAAAGAAAGGAGTAATTTTACTAATGCATTATTTATATACACATAGTTGAGGCTGGATATATGACAATTGAACAAATTTCATTTTCACTTCACTCTGCTGTATTTGATGTTTTAAAAACTCTTGCCATTAAAGCAACTCAAAAGAAACTGGATCTTATATATGATGTGAATAATGGTATACCTGATCAATTGATTGGTGATCCCTTACGCTTAAGACAAGTCATAACAAATCTTATAGGGAATGCTACAAAATTTACAAATGAAGGACAAGTGATGCTTTCTGTAGATACATCAGAAGCAGAAGGTGATCAAGTACTTTTAACATTCTGCATAAAGGATACTGGTATAGGAATTCAAGCAGACAAAATTGGATGTATTTTTGACACTTTTTCTCAAATTGATGGATCTACAGCAAGAAAATATGGGGGAACTGGATTAGGACTTTCAATATCCAAATGTTTAGTTAACTTGATGGGTGGTAATTTATGGGTCAAGAGTGAGTTTGGTAAAGGTTCTGAATTCTTTTTCACAGTCAAAGTCACACCTGCTACAACAAATCAGGAACAAATTGAACAAAAAATGTTACCATGGCAAGAACATTATATATTATTTATTGATACATTACATGACAAAAGAGGAGTTGTTAATATGATTGAAACATTAGGGCTCAAACCAAAAATTGTAAATTCAGTTGAAGAAGCGGCTATTATCACAGCATCTGGAAAATCAGATGCACCTTTGTTTGATACAGTAATAGTTGATGATTTAACTATAGTTGAAAGGTTACGAAAAATAACATATCTCAGATATATTCCAATTGTATTATTAGCACCTACAATACCAGAACTAAACATAAAGAGTTGTGTAGATCTTGGCATTAGTTCATATAGTAGTACACCATCAACTTTACCTGATTTGATGAATGCTTTATTGCCTGCACTTGAATCTAACTCTTCAATACCAATTGATTGTACAAGAAAACAGCCTTTGAATATTTTAGTGGCTGAAGATAATGTAGTAAATCAAAAATTGATTGTAAAAATTTTAGGGAAATTTGGTCATAAAGTAGAAATAGCTGCTAATGGACAATTGGCTGTTGAAGCCTTTAAATCCAAAAGATATGATTTGGTAAACTTTCATTATTATTATTTTGTTGTTATTGTTATTGTCAAAATTATTTTTAGCTGATATTATTTAATTTAGATTTTAATGGATATTCAGATGCCTATAATGGGTGGTTTTGAAGCAACACAAAAAATTCGTGATTATGAATCTCAACATGGTGGTCATGTTCCAATAATTGCATTAGCAGTTCATGCAATGATAGGAGATCGAGAAAAATGCCTTGATTCAGGAATGGATGAATATTTGACTAAACCATTAAGTAAATAATAATTCTATGTGTGTATATATATATATTCATTTAATATTCATTATCTTTTTTTTTAATTAATTAGGGATTAATAATCTCATTGCAACAATAAATAAGTTTCCTCTTGTAAAAAATCAAATATGAAGAATTACCATTACCTGATGAACATAATACTATTTAAATATGTAAAAGTTGAATCCTTGAAATGTATAACATTATTCATTAAATATTTATATCACAATTTTACTTTGATTTTCTAGCTTAAAATAAATGCCATTGTTTATATTAAAATTAAAAAAGGGCTCTATTACTTTATTGTCCTATTTCCCTAGTATGTTTTAAACTTAACTCGGAGTCAGTATCTTTATTCTTTAAAGAATTATAATTGTTCAAAGTTTACTATTGAAAAAAAGATCGGCAAAAAATTGTCATATATATATGAAAATTTATATATGTGATTGACTATGTTTGTAAAATCATATAATGCAGGTCACCCCCGTAACTGCTGTAGGTGGAAAATAATATATTTATAGTAAAGAATGACATCTTTTGGACTAAAGCCAAGCCAACAAAGAAATGGAATGAAACTACAGAACGCAGAGATTAAAGTTGTATGAGGTCAAAATATTATTTCCTATATTAATATGAATTTTGAAGTTATATTAATCATGAAGTCACTCTTACTT